AAACGACAAGCGATTGGTATACCAACGCAACACTACAATTAGGGTAAGCTCTTGCAATAGACAGCAGATTATTGTGCAATACTTTGAAAACAGTTGCTTTTAATACTTTCAATTACAGAGTCTAATGTATTCTGTAGGGACTTTACTTGGTCTTAATGTCTGCCTCAAAAATTTTAAAACTTAATTTGTCCCATCTTAATCTGCAGACTTACCAATTACAGAGTTTTTAAATCTACTAGAAAGATTATTTTTAAATAGACTTTATTCTGGTCTAAGTAGAGGACCAAACTATGACTATGGCCTATGGATAGGGACTGCAGAAAGAAGTACAAAGAATATGAAAAATCAGTCCTCAGACTGTATTTGTGAACAACAAAAATTGGTCAGTGTATGAGCCCACACAAAAATGTGTGAATCCTATTGGAAAAAAGAATGGAAAGAAAGGGCTTATGTCAACAACGATCTCCCTTTTATATTAAGATATCCCAACTGCAAAGCCTGGAGAAACCATCTATGCACCAAGGAATTATTGCAGCTAAGATAGAGTCAGTTAGCTGTTGTTCAATCAAGCATTGATCAATTACTCAGCAACTACTCTCAATTTATACAACAAGTGCTTGAATATACCAAGATGTTAGATATCAGCCCCGACTACTACAATAAACAAACATGAGCACTCTTTGATAGCCACTAGAGAAGAACTTATTAAACAAGTGAAGTAAAAATAATAGCCAAGAGTGTGGTTCACTGATGTTCCATGCAATTCTGAATCCAATGATACCCCATTCATGGCATTTTATTTTCAATATATCACTAATTTTGTGAATTAACATATTAATCCATGTGTGATATTAAAATTGAATGAAAATCTCTTATCAGATATTTCTGTGTTTTTATAACTAGTTGAAATAGATTTTTAATATATTTAGCTGATTTCTGCTAACTTTTAAACCACAGAGCTAACAGATAAGATGTTTTTGTTGAATTATAAAAACATAAATAAACTACTGTTAAAAACTTAATAAATAGGTTATCAAGTGATGTAATTGATATGATCATCGTAAACTAAAGTTTTTTCATAATTTTTATTCAGTAGCTGATTTCAGAAATTTTCTTGTTAAAATTACAGAAAATTTGTACGATTTTGATTTTAGTGGCATCGAATTGCTCATTTTGAGTTGGATTAGATGATTTATAAATATATATGTGTTTAGATATTTATCATTATATTTTAATATCTTGTCCTTATTAAATTTATAATTTAAAAAAGAAAAATATGAGGAAGGTAAATAATTCTGTGACTAGCACTTTTTTTAGTTTTTTCCTATTTTATCCATAAAGCAGCATGTTTTCAACAAAAACTATATTATAAATTGTTAAACTAGATTAAATATTCTACAGTTTAAAACCAAAACAGGTTCGGTAAGGTAAATCAAATAGTTTACGAGATACAGATTTTCAAAGTTTGGAAAATTTTATTTTCCATTTAAATTAATTTTCATGTTTGGACATATACACTTGTATTTTATCTTCAATAAACTGTCTGATATCAGTAATTGAAGTAAGTATTTCTTCATTTTAATATTTTGAAGGAGAGAGGGAAAGGTTTGGTTTGAGAGGGTAGTCAGTGGGCCAGACCACCCTACCATGAACCCTCCTCCCACATCACAATAAATTGCATATCGTGTTCCTTGTAACTATATATTTTAAAAAAAAACAGTGTTTCAACAAAAAAAGTGGCCACACTGTCCCTAAATGGCGTCCACACATGACGGATTTACGACTTTGAATTCAGTTAGTTTTTCGGTCACAAAGATTCAGCAGTTGGCTTAATTTCATCATAAGTAGTCTTTTATTAAAGCTGGTCTTTTATTATTCTCTGGATAGCCAGAGAATAATGAAACATAAAAAAATAATAATTGGCCTTGGCAATAAAAAATACCCTAAGTCAATTTTTTTCAAGTCGTTCAAATTATAGTTGAAAATCAAGTGTCATTTGTTATTAAACAGCCAACAATAACTGAAATAAAACATCTAGAGAATACATTCGTCATTCTAAATCACTGCTTAATTTTTAACATATTTAAAGGGTTATTTTGAAAATGCAGTTTATCAGCGGAAAAGTGGCACTAGCATAGGCCCCTACAGTCTTCAGCCACCTCATTAATGGCATAGTTATAGTACTACTCTCTTCATCTGTCTATTATATATTTCTTCCACCAAATAACGTTTCCATCAGTTCCTTGTTATATTTTCAAAGATTTTGAATCTCCTCAACAGTGATCCCAGAATTTATTTTTTTTTTTGGTAGTTTTTCTTCTTTGCTTATATAAATAAATAAATATATATATATATATATATATATATATATATATATATATGTATATATAAAGTGTATAACAAATGACAAGACAAAGTATCTGAAGCCTTCAGCCTTCTAAGTTCGTACGGGCTTACAGCAGGGAGACTATCACTGATGTTCAACTTAGCCCTGGAGAAGGTAATAATCACTGAAAAATTGAGAGAGGTCCATGTCAGAATGAATCACAAAATCATTGGATACGCAGATGATATAGCTATCCTAGTAAGTAATCAAGAAGACATTGAGAAACTCATTACAACACTAATAAGAGAGGCAGAGCAGAAATGCCTACATGTAAATGAAGGCAAAACAAAATATATGTTAATAAACCGAAAATTCCACCCCAATAACAGGATCTACGTAGGAGGAAAATCATTCCCAAGAGTAGGAAAAATGAAATACCTCGACTCCACAATAACCTTAATGAATGACCAACAGGCAGAAATAGACCAGCGTATAACTAGCAAACAGAGCTTTCTTCTCCCTCTCAAAGGTATCAAAATCCCAAAACATCTCAAACTAATGGTGTACAATGGTATCATAAAGCCAGTTCTACTATGCGGCTGGGAGACCTGGACACTAACCAACACTCTAGAGAGAAGTGTTGAAAGATTCGTGAGGAAAATCCCCTGCACGATAACCGGAGCGATCTGGGATCAGAGTATAACACATGGAGAAGAAAGACCAATAAAGAGCTGCATACAGAAACTAATCAATCAATATCCCATGATATGAAGGCAGGGTTAAGATGTGCGGGGCATGTAGCTCTCAGCAATCCATCTGGAAGCCTCTACTTAACAATGAATGCCTCAATAGAAGGCAAAAGAGCAGATAGAAGCCCAAACAGCAGATGGATAGATAGAATCAACAAAGATGCAACAGATCTGCGTGCAGATAAATGGAAAGAAATCAAGCAAAAGATCGACATGGGCTGTAGTGCCATCAGAAAATATATATATATATATATATATATATATATATATATATATATATATATATATATATATATATATTGATATGATTTGTCCCCATATCTAACACTGCTCTCTGAAATTAAATTTCTGAGTCAGTTTGAAAGAAAAAAAAGGTAACCCTTTTTTTTTTTTTTGCTGCCCGCTGATTACTAGGAAGATCTAATGCAATAAATGACTCACTCATTCTAGTTCACTAATTTTATCAATTAACTTATAACATTAGATTCACATAAATCAACATAGGGTTTCTATCTCTTATTACTTATTGCCATTCCTATATACATTTTTCCTACTTCTTCAAAATAATAAATTAAATAAATGTTTACTTCACTAACTCTTGAAATGAAGTCATAAGCATGAAAATTAGCTTAACATTTTCAAGTTTCAAAAGTTTCATTCCCTTCATTTACAATTTTTTTATACACTTAATGTGTACTAAAATGTAAATGTTCGTTAAATATTTTTTATTTGAAATTTAACAAATAGGAAAATTACATATCTTTTAGTATGCTTTTAGTATAATTTCATATTTCTTAATTGGAATTTAATAAATATTGAGTGTGTTAAATTAAGTACATAAAATATTTTTTATTTTAATTTCAGTCTTTTGCGGTTGTGAAAAATGATCTCTCCCCCTCTCATCATAGCTTCCCTCTCCTTCAAAATGTTAAAATGAATACAAATTTACTTCACTGAATCATAGAAGACACGTTATTGGAGATTTAAAGACAATTGCATATGATCAATCATGAAAAATAGCCTAACATTTTCAAGTTCCAAAACTTTGAAAACACGTAGCTGAAAAATGATTAAACTTGGTGCCGAGAAAATTATCAAGGTGAGGTCAAAAACTTAGATTTTGCATCTCGGTCACATCCCATACAAGGAAAAAAAAAGAAACCTATCCCCATTTGATGCAACTTAGATCCTCCTTTCAAGTTTACTGGGCTATATAATGCCTTATCAGATTTTGATGTATTAATATAATAAATTAAACAAAATCGATGATTTTTGCATCTCTTTAGGTGTTAATTTGGAGTTTTTTCGACACGTTTTTCAGATTTTTACAATATAAAGATCCAGTCTCTAGTTATGTTATATTTATTGACTATTTGATTTTTAAGAATCATTTTCAAGGGAAATGTCATTAAATAATTTTAATTATAGAGGTAACCTTTTAATTAGATCTTTTTGAATTTAAATGATTTGATTCATTAAGTGCAACTAAACAACAAATATCCTATTATAAGTCAAAAATAGGGATATCAATTGTTCAATGTTTTGATTTCACTGAGGAAAAATTCATCCAATTAAGATTTAATATTCTAAAATCTGCATCCCGAAGGTAAAGAATACCATACCCATTTTTGTATTTGTTGAGGGGAACCAATTTTCCATAACTTCGAGCTATTATAATTTATCTATTAGTTAATGTTTAATTATATTCATGAGATAAAGGACTCCATATCACATTTTTGTATTTGTTGGGAAAGCCAGTTGTACATAATTTAGAGAGATTAAAATTTATTGTTCAGTTACTGAATTGTTTAATAAGAAAATGGACATGAAGTACTTTGCCTCCAGGGCACAGAAATGTTAATGACTTTTTGCAATAAACCGGCAATACATAGGTTTCAATATAAATTGAAGGTTAAAACAGAAAATCAATTTTTAAAATTATTTTATTACAATAATAATCAATTTTCATTACTTTAAATGGAAACTTTTGTACATATTAATAAATAAATTTCATACTTTGGTATCCTTGCACACACATTAATCATTTTAACAGAAATAGTAGTATACAACTCTTTGTCACTATCACAATAACCGTAACGGATCTCACAAATGTTACATATATCCTTTTAAGTATTTTCATTTATGTACAGCCTAATATAACAATGATATAATTACACTAAATGACTTGAAACTCTCTCAAAAATATATACACTTACAATACACAAATATAATTAAGATTTTTATATACAAATAACATTTCTATATTGTCATCGACAATAAATTTTTCTTTAGAAATGTTTACATAGTGAGTAAAATATATATAAATATACTGTTTCAATAAAACAAAATAAACAACAGTCAATAACAAATTAACAAAAATGCCAGTAAAGCTCTGCCTACTAGCATTGCTCCTAAATAAATTCTTATACAATTAATAATTAAAAAAATCTAAAGCTGTACAATAAAAAATACAAATCAACCAGTCCTTATATAAAACAAATAAATTTTTGGTCCTAATTTATGCTCTGTACAAAATTTAATGATGTCACCTTCATAATCAGGTACACATTAAAAATATTTTTCTTTTTCTTCAACAAAAACAAAACAAACATAATCTGTCTAAAGATCTATTCATTTTGATTTTAAGTACAATAGCACATCAATAGAATTAAAGCAAAAATTATATTAAAAGCATGATTTTTTTTTTGTTTTGTTTTTAATCTACAAAAAGAATGTTCACAAATACCTCTGTTATATTACAAAAATATAACACTCTTAACTAAAACTACAATTAAAATATATAACATGTTCAACATTGAAAGAGCAATGAGAAAAATCATCAAAATAAATAATTCAGCAACTTAGTTTAAATATCACTCACTCAGTCCTGCTAAAGTTATACAATGTTTACTTGGTTTATGAATTTTATTCAACAATAGTTTATAAAAACATGAAATATCATTATTGATTACTGGGACTTTTCTTTTCTACTATTTTGTTACAAACTGGTGTTGAAATTTATAACTTTCTTCCTGGATCTTATTTTTCCTATGTAAGGAAAAACTTTTAAGGAATTAACGAAGATGTGTTTTAAAACTATTAACTTCTAAAATACAAAGAACTGAACAATAACTGAGTTTAACAAAAAATAAATTTAACCCACACAGTTCCTCAGTCAAGATATTTTTTTTTTGAGATTATTTTCATCCATCCAAAGACACGATATCATGATTACATCACAAGCTTTTAGAAGATAATCTTTGGTTTCAAAATCGCAATCTCAAATTTAAGGACAAGATTGTATATTATCCTAGATAAATTTAAATAGGAAAAAAAAATGCCTGGATCTGAAGAAACATAATAAATTCAGGATATAATTCTCAAAAGTATAAGACACTTAGCCTCCTTTATAAGGAGTAACTCTAATTACAAAAGATAAATACATTACTCATCACACTAGATATCGAACAGTCCTTTTTACCATTGAGTCGACATGCTAGGTATCAGTGGTGATTTGCTTCACTGGCACGGAAACAGAACAGTCCTTCCAGGCATACCAACACAGAAGGCTCGCGCTGGCGGTTGGCAGCGGGAATCCTTTGATAAGGCACTGTCGTTTTAAATGCAATCGACGCTTTCTAGCTCTTGTTGCCATGATGATGGTGGTGGTGGTGGTGATGATGATGGTGATGGTGATGGGAATTGGTTTTTTGAGCCTTCTTCTTTCGGGCAGCTAGCATATCATAAAATGGATTATGGCTGATACTTTGCCTGTTAACAAAAAAAATTAAGAAAATGAAATAAATATAAAATATCAGAAGTTGATAAACAAATTAATAACAAAAATACTTATTTAAGACATTAGTTACCCAGTTACCAGTTTATGAGAAACTTTTTTTTTTTGTATATTTATATAGACCTCAAATCACCAATTATTTAATTTATTTTAGCAAATATCAAAATGCTATATCTTAAAAAAAAAAAAAATCAGTATGAACTACTATTTTTTAATTTTCGACCAGTTTCAATTAGTTATAATAGCCAATTATACAACAAATAGTTCCCAAGAAATAATTTTTAATTTTTTTCTTTTTTTATCATTATTATTTATATGATATTTACAACTGTATAATAAAAAATACATCTAGTAAATTCGTACATGGACATGAAACACATGTTGAGAAACTACCCATTGGTAGCACTCTAATAATACGTCTATATTATTATATACTAGTCGCGTTCGCCAATATTCAGGCAGACCTAGATAGGATCAGTGCCTGGGCAAGTCTGAATAATTTAAATCTAAATGCGATGAAAACTCAGGCCATTATTATAGGTTCCAGTCCTGTTCTTAAATCCATCTCCCTCCTTCCTCCTTTAGTCATCAATGATCATCCTGTCACAATCAGTTCATCCGTTAAAAACCTAGGAATCACCATAGACGAAAACCTCTCCTGGAAACCCCATATCGCTCTGATCTCCCGTAAGTCAAAAGGTACCCTTAAGCTATTTCATCGCTCCCACAACCCATCCGCAAGCTCCTTGTATCTTCTCTCATTTTCCCCCACTTGGTGTACGGAGGCATCCCGATGGTACTCGAGGATAGATTGAAGTGACTCATGAATACTTGCTTAAGATTTGTCTTCGGTACATCAAGGCGATCTCATGTGTAACACCTTTACGACGAGTTAAAGTGGCTCTTCCCTTCTTTCAACAGACAATATTTCCTCGGCTCTTTCCTATTCCAAACAATCAACACCAGACACCCTTCTTACATCTACAGTCTCCTACAGTTTAAACCCGTGGTCCACTCCCAGAAAACAAGATCCCGTGTTTCCGACCTTTATATCCCTTCCCATAGAACTAAGACGTTTGAATATTCCTTTATTTCCCGATCCACAGCCTTCTGTAATTCCTTGCCATCTGAAATCCGCCATGCCTCCTCCTTGTCCTCATTTAAATATCATCTCTACCAATTCCTTCTCACATCCCAAAATGACGTTATACAATAAAATAAATATTGTGAAACAGATTTTGACTGAGGTGAATGGTTGATAAAATTTATTGAGTCTTAATTTTAAAAATCAACCCATGCTTATTTTATTTTATTTTATTTTATTTTCATTTAAATAATTTTTTTTTTTTATTTCGTTTTTTCTCAAAATTTTATTTTATTTTTACCTGTTTTAATTTAACTTCACTGAAGATACTGTATATATTCTTTAATATTGATTAATGTAATTTTTGGCCAGATGTAGTTTTTATTTTTTTGTTCATATCTGTTATTCATAAGGGACTTTGTCCCAGAATAAAGTTTACTTTCTATCTATCTATCTATATTAGGAGATCACAGGGCCATCTTCTTTTCAGACTCCTCGGAGGTTAATTTTTTAAATATAAGAAAATGCCAAATATTAAATTTATTTCGCAAATATCTTGGAAACTGCTATTTCTAGGAAGATAATAGTTAAGTCTCAAGTATCATGCTGCATTAAAAGTTTCCCCCTGATGCAAAACGTTGCTTTAAACGATTCGTTTTTGGTCCCAAAACACGGATGACTTGATTTTTTTACCTGAAATTTAAATTCTGAGTATTTTGGCACATGGAGAACCAGTGTGCTACCACTTTGATGACTGTCTTTTTGTCTCAGGGGTGTAATGAGTCAGCCAAGTTTTATCACCCGTCAAACGCTTGGTAGGATATCTTATATCAATAAACATTGTAGAATAGAGATTTTTTTTGACAAGGTTTATTGTTCACTATATCCCTTCGAAGTGATTGAAACGAGATACATTTATAATAGATAATAGATATAATACGTCTTCTTCATGTTTTAATATGATTTGGTGTTTATAAAAGATAAGAGATTTTAGGAAAATTTATAGCTTACTTATGTAAGTCTATAAGCTAAGAAAACTAAGCAGATGTGTGTCTTTTGTAAAAAAAATTTTTCAGAGTAGTAAACTTCAGATTACTGAGATTGGACTGCATTGGAAACATTGATTACTTTACATTACAAAATTAAATTTAAATTGACTAAAATGTTAATATTTAAATAAAAATGCTAATGCCAATACACATATGTCCATTGTTAGTAGAATTTATTTATTTTTAAATCACTGTAATTGTTTCTCTTCAAATGATGAGATTCATTGACTAACCTTAGACATTTGATCCAGTCATCCTTTTCCTCGCTTGTGGCAGCTGACATTCGGTATACAGTATGTTTTCCTAAGGGAAAAAAAAATAATGAAGTTTAATAAAAAAAAAGACAGTTTGTTGAAAACTTGAAAATAGACAATTATAGTTATTTCAAGACTCATTAATATATGAATATTTGGCCCTTTTCTACTTCCACCACAACAGTGACACTATATTTTCCTTTTTTTGCCTCTCTAACACGATGTCATGTCAAGATAAAATTGAGAATAACAGCTGAATATAAAGAGGATGAAGTGCTTATAATTTCCCTTGCTTACAGTATCCAGGTCGGATTTTTAATTTCTGAGATATTTTAATCTATATGCCCAACCAAATTGGTTGTCATTTGATTTTCAAAACTATTTTTTCACCTTTTTCCTCTCTAACATGGCATCACGTTAAGATACAATTTTAAATAATAGCTTATTACAAAGAGGATGAAAAGCTAAAAATTTCCCTGATTTACAGTATGCAGGTCCGATTTTTAGTTTCTGAGATATTTTAATCAAAATGCAAAAACACGTAAAAAATTCACTGGTGTGCTTAAAGTAGAAAAGAGCTGAATATTTAAGATAAATTGCAAATAAATCAACATGTAACAACAATGTAGAGGTCATCTTAGATAATTAAAAAATACATTTAACAGTTTGTATAATTTACTATAAACAAAATGACTCATTTCCTAATGGTGATTGCAAAATTGATGATAGATACAACTTAAATGCAATAATTTTATTTTTATGAATTGAAAAATATTATATTGTACCTATTATGCAATTGATCATTTATGGAATATATTATACTACTAACCTTCCACAACTTTCCCTTCAGAATCAGTCTTGCATGCTTTAATGAAATCCGAGCCTGCTGCGTATAGTTCAAAACAATGAGGTTTGTGCCGATCTTGGACCTCTCTAACTTGAATGTTTTCTAAGGGTATAATACCTCTAGGCTCTTTGTCAGTGGTATATTCAAAATAGTAAAGGCAATTATCATTAAGTATAAACCATCTCCTTTTCCAGCTCTTGTAACGACCACCTGTAATAATAAAAAAAAGCACTTTTTTTAAACTGAAAATAATTTTATAATCTCAGAACAAACAAAAATTAAAATTACTAGAAAACAAGTTGATATATACTTCTTAGGTAATACATAAATTTTAAACATTAATTCCTTTCCAATTAATTATGAATACAAATCCATGGTTGATATGACATTTCTTTAAAAAATTTAATATCGATTTTTTTATTTCCACCAGCTAATAATTAACAACTTATCTGCATGAGTTTTAAAATTAAATCAAGGATAAATAAATTAAGTTTAGATGAGAGAGAACGAGATTTTTCTTCCGACATGCATTTTGAGAAGACAAAAACCCATGAGAACATGTTACATTTCATTGCTAAATTTTATCTGATGGGATTATCAGTCTCCGTGTATTTAAAAAAAGAAAAAGTGGACAGTTATGGTATAATCATACAGGAAAGGGCGCCATTTACCCAATATAAGTTTTAAAACTGCGGGAAAAAAATTTATATATTTAATGATGTTTAAAACTTTTTTTTTTGTCATCCGCCCCTTTCTCGCCTATTAGCCTATAAGATTTCCCAGGATGTTGTGCCACAGTTAAAAGCTCCTCCGGCACCAGGATGCGAACTTCTAAATTTTATCATATCAATATCTGTTTATCTATTTACAGAGCAATGGTAATGCTGTACATACACATTAGTCCGCTCGACAACCCCGTCCCCAATGATGTTTAATCAAAACAGGTAAAAGACATCTTTACTATTTAAACTTTTTTTTTCATTATAAAATAAGAAACGTAACATGCCTCACTCTATATACTAAAAATATGCTTACCTTGTTTCCATAACCAGCCTTCTTTATCTGGATTAAAGAAGGTATGCATTAAATCATTCCCATCGTCTTCAGGGATTTTAAATGGTTCTGTTTTAATACTTTCATACAAGCTCTGAAACAAAAAATATTACATATTATTACTTTTTAATTTATTAATCAGATATAATAATATATTAAAAAACAATTCACACAATCGCATGAAAGAGGCAACAACAGGGTCAGAGATCAAAGTGCTACAATCATAGGATAGTCACATGCAGGAACCACAAGATGGCTCAACCGCACGTCAACTATATCATTGCTCTTACATCATCATACCCAGTTGCAGTTTTAATTTTTTATAATTATTACAAATGTTCATAAATAGCCTAAGGAGATGTAAATTTTATGGATTTCAATAAAATTAGAATATGAAATAATAAAACAATAATAATTTATGAAACCATGCCAAAATACCATTACAGTCAAAATAATGGTAACCTCTATAAAAATATCTAATGTAATTAATTATCTAACAATTTATTAGGTATACTAGTAATAATATAAGTACCCAAATATATTAAATTAGTTAAAGTAAAACCCCTAGTTTTTGGCATCCTTAAGGAGACTTTAAAATATGTTTGTCCCATTTTCAATCGCATGGGTGCTTGGTTCAACAATTTTGTTTCTGTTAAGTAAGCAAAGATCTCTAATTTCAAAATATATATGCGAAACAGTGACTTTCATTTATTTTTTAGAGTAAGATAGAAAAATATAGGCCAGTTTTCGGCACCATTTTTCCAGTTTTCGCAACCCTGCAATATTAGTTTTTGGCACCTCTTACACAACTGTGGTTTTTTTTAACCCTATACCAGTTAAAATACAATTACCATGTTTGTCCAAATATAAGTTGTTTTTAATGAAATTTTGTCCAATATAAAATAGATAAAAAGTTGACCTATTTTCGATGGGGTGATGTATGTTGTCACATACAAGTATATTTGGGATCAATTTATATTCAGATGCGATATAAGAAATATGAGTTCACCAAAACTTAAGGCTTTTAAAGTCAGTGTAAATATGAAACCAGAATTTTCAAATAGAAAATACAAGTTTATTGCATAAAAATGTAAAAAAGTATTTCATTCTAAATATTGTCCATTGCTATGCATTTGCCATAGCTAAAGAAACCGTGTACGCTGTTCATTCTACAATATAAATTCATGATTTTACAATTATATATTCAAAGAGAGATAATTGACAATACAAATTCTAAATTGTGATACAAAAAAAAATATATTTAACCTGCTCTGAAGTTGAAATCAGACATAGCTTCAATTATATCCAATTAATCAAGATTTTTTAAGGGTGATTTAGTAGATTAACATTTCATGAATAAAGAACAAATTAAAAGAAGAAAGCAAGCAAGGCAAACCAAATTATAAATAAAAAAGAGCTAACCTGAAATCTGGGAATACAGAACATATTGAAAGAATTAAATTAACTGAAGGAATATTTAAGATAACCTATCTATGAGCATCATCAGAATGAAGTTAATTACAAAAATAGTTGAATAAAAAAAAAAAACAGTAGTTTTGCAAGAAAGATTGTATCTCACTTTTTTTTTTTTTACTATCTATAAATGATTTACTAATAATTATTGAAACATAAACTGAACTTTGGCACAATCAACAGATAACTGTCCAAAAAATGTATGATAGAAATTCAGTTCTCACTAAATAACTTCCTAAAATTTATTTCAAATACAATTATTGTTTTATAGCCAGTTCTAAACCACATAATGCGGAGCTATCGTTTCCAACAATCCATGTAAGGATAAAGTTCAATTTACTAAAACCTCTAAAGATTTACCTAAAGGAGGAATATTCGGGGAAGGAATGAGTAGTTCTTTGAAAAATAAGTAATAATAAACAATTAATTAAATTCTCTAAAGTTTTAAATATGGCAGGAAACATAGAGTAGATTACAAATTCAACATAGAAACATCATCCTTAATTCTCACGCTAAAGAATGACCCTACCCCAATTTCGCTACGTTTATACTTCTACTAATCATTAGTATGTTAATAAAAATAAAGAAAACAAAAGTTTTTATAAGAATAAAAGAATTGAATTAACTAACCTTCTTATTCTTTTTATATCGTAATATACTTTAGAAACCTATCATGGATGATAAATACTCAGGACGCAGTCATTATAAAGTTTTTATTAGTGCCGATGTTTCAACCCAAATATGTGTTTCTAATACTCGAGTAGTACTTGAATACCTTCAGTGCTCGAAACACACCCTGATGATGACCCACATCTTTGGGTTGAAACGTCCGCACTAATAAAAACTTTATAATGACTGCGTCCTGAATATTTATCACCCATGATATGTAGAACAATCGACTAACTTCCTCCAATAATTCAAACACCTAGTTAGGAATATAAATTATTTTATGTTTGGAATAAGAATTACCCATAAATATAGAGTTATCTAGGGATATAACAGTTCCTGAATTCTTTTAAAAAATCGTGACTAAGGCTAGTCAATATAATATTGGTTTGAACAAAATAAATAATTTTCAATAAACCACATATTATTTATAGACATTAAGAATTTCAAATTATATATCTCTAATCTTAAATCCCAGGTTTACTGGGGCCGAAGTTAGATATAAGTTAGGAATTGGTGAAAAAATGACTGAGTATCAATCTTATCGGACTCCATCCGCTACTTTCAAAAAATGGTTACACCTAGGGGTGGGTAAACATATCGTCTTTGATAAGCATATATTTCAATAATGGCTAGTTCAAGTTGAAGAATAGTGTACAAATGACACTGTATCAATTTGATCAAATTCTATTAATGCACCTAATTGTTAAGAATATAAAGGCCATGAAGTGGGGTAGGCAGTGAACGAACGGAACCGGAGGCTATGTTTATAATTAAGTATTTGTAATAAGGGATTATAAGATTTTAGACTGGAATCAAAAATTTAATTTAAACTGAATTGGATTTTTGAATCCGTATGATGGGCATACAATTTATTGCTTGTAATTAGATGTGATGAAATTTCTAGGGTTCGGGAGTGTGAATTTATCAAATTACGTTTATTTTTCTTGATCAGATTATACCTCGAAAATGGTTTTTCCGATAAATTTTATTCTCAAATGACAAACCACAGACCTTGAAATATACGTTTTATGTAACCAATAGAAATGGTGAAAAGTATAAATTGAAGCTAATTGGTACTTTTTTTTTTTTTTTTTTATTGAAAATTATTTGAAATAAGGGCCAACTCACAAACTTAAAAAAAGCTATTTCAAGGAAGTAATCATACTGCGAATTTAGTCAACTGTTACCGATATTTTTTTCAAGCTAGCAACTAAGCATCCAATGGTCAAATCTAACATAAATATTCTTCTTAAAACAAAATCGGATCAATAAAATTCAATATTTACAACTAATAATTCTCTCGGAAGATCTCCACCATTGTTGATCCCTCTATTCATAGTTATAAACTGTTCAACACCAGGTTTCTCTTTCACCGATGGATTGTGAAGACTTGTATTCAGCATTATAATAGCAAAAGATAAAACGTAGCAGGTATCTAAAACAAATAATTATTCAAAATCATTAAACCCTTATTAAAATAAAATTATAATAAATTATTGTTGAGAAAATAAGATGTTTCATAATTTAAAAAAGTAATTTTAATTAAAATACCTATATAAAGAAACTTGTTTATTTTATAAAACAGGTTTCCAATTAAATCTTTACAAACATCACATAAAAATATAAATGTTTAACCAAAGAAATAAACATCATTATGTAAGTGATGATAAACCAGTATTAAGGAATTTTAATTAACATTCATTCACATTCTTATAAAAAGAGATTTTTACGTATATTTAGATATTACAGTAATACTTTTCAAGGGCACCCAATGTTATTATATATGGTGTCTTCAAGGAATATATAAGCCCTTATACTTTCAATTTTTTTTATTTATTTCTGACGATGTATCGAGCTGATTAGCTCATTATTAAGTCATCTACAAATAACAATTAAACAAAGATAATTTACAATGCTGGTCGCTTATTATCTAGTCATAGAACAAGTGAGAACTTACCTAAAACATTTTTTATATAATATAATGTATTTCAATATATAATTTCATGAACAACTATTTGTAGTACACCAATTGTCACAGATAACTATATTCCTCGTCACCTTCTCCCTTAAATTTGTACACACTAATTGATGTGTTTCCTTGCAATAAAAATTTTTTGTATGCGAGTATTTCAGAAGTTATATGATTTCTATTAGTCATTACTATTGTTTTATTTAAATTTGGACTATACAATAACAAACTGAAAAGACGGATATCCAATATGAAAGATAGAATCAATGCAATAGATAAAAAAGACGTGATATATAAAATTCCTTGAATACAATGTCACAAACATATTGGTCAAACTTCACAAAATTTAAGAAATAACATAAAACAAGACAAAATGATCATAAAAAATCCTAAAAACATAAAATTCACAGCTTTATCCAATCACAGCATATTAAACAAACACACATTGATTTCAAAAATATACAAATTTTAAACACGGCACAAAACAATTAAATTTGAAAAACCTTAGAAGCAATTTATATTAATAAAAATATAAATAATTCAGTCCATTCTATACCTGATGTTAAAAATATGGGCCAACATTATGTCCATATATTAAATGAGATAAATTTTTAATTAGATAGGACCTTGGAAAATAATAAACATCAACAGAGCTAAATCCCATTCAATCATTAGTTGATTCCTACTTAGAGTGTATCTCTAAGAGTTCATATGTACAGTCAATGTTAAAAAGTAGACGGAGGAGGTAGTACCGTACGTGGTGAGCATATAGTTTAAATAAAACAATAGTAATCAATAATAAAAATTGTATAACTTATGAAATAATTGCATACATAAATTATTATTGTACAGACATGCATCAATTAATGCACAAAAATTTAAGAAAAATGGTGGCGAGGAATATAATTATCTGTGACAACAAATAGATGTTCATGAAATGGTATATTTAAATACATTATAGTACATACAAAAAATGTTTTTGCTAAGTTCTCACTCGTTATATGACTAGATAATGAGCAACAAGAGTTGTAAATTATCTTTGTTTAATTGATATTTGTAGATGAATTGAAAATGAGCTAATCAGCTCGAAACGTAGTCAAATAAAAAAAAAGTAAAATAAAAAAAAGTCGAAGTAAAATAAAAAAAATTGAAAATATAAGGGCTTATATATTCCTTGAAGACACCATATATAAGAAGATTTTTCTTTTAATAAATTTTATTTTATTTGCATAAAATAGAAACCTATGAATTTGTTTTGATAGCAGAATTAAGCAGAAAAGTACTCCAAATTTGTTCCAATGACAATTTCATTTAAAACTTTTTCTAACAATTTTTTTAAAAAGTTATAAATAATGGTGAAGGGGTATTGATAACTGTAGAACTAAAGAGAGAGAAGTTGATTGAGGAGTGCAGCCAGTGATAGAAAAAACACTTAAATAAGAAACGTTTCTAAAGTGTGTCAATGTATCAGCCTATGTTTCACGCCTACATCGGAGGCGATAGCTGCAAGATTCTCACAAGAGCAAGAGTATTCTTACAGTATCCAATCAGCTTTTCTAAATATTAAAAATATTTTTCCTGTATAAATACTATGCTAAATATTAAATACTAAAACGTGATTAGGAGAGGGGGAGGAGAGGAGAAAATTGAAAATATGTAAATCATTACAACAGCAATTAAAATACATCAAGAAAACTTAGTACCCAAAAATTATTAATTAAATTGACAGGCAGCAGGCATAGTTTACTAAAAGAATTTTTCTAAATAATTTTGTCATTTTAGTAAATTATAAATATAGCTAATTATGGTAAATTACTTCATTCATTATACATATAGTATTAATTCTTCAAAAATATTGACAGAAGCACACAAACATAAATGAACTCACCAGTATTAGTAAAGATGTTGGGGTTCAGTTGGCAATACCTCTGGGCAAAGCATTCCATCATTCTATCGATTTTCTGAGCTTCACCAGGAAGACGAAAACTCCACAAAAATTGTCTGTAATTAAAATAAATATTCATCATAAATAAAATATCATTGCATTCTTTCAAATATATAATGGCAATTAATATGATTAAAATATCTATATAAAATTTTATTATTATTTATTTATTCAGGTTTAAAAAAACAAAAAAAGAAGAGTATGGTTGTTGACTTAAAATAAAAAATATAATTCATAATTGTGGGTTTATGGTTGACAGTAGTGAGTAATTGAAGAGAAGGATGTAGTGGGCATAGCCATTAAACTACCATATAAAGATAAAATTTGTGAAATATTCTACCTACTGTCAGTGCCTGTGTAAAATAGGAATCCTTTACCTTTTAAAATAATTAAACCTTAAATATTACTAGATCTTACTGCACTACTAATTGTTATTATTAAAGGCTTAATGAGATTCATAAGAAGTATACAAAATATCTAAACAGGTCTTTGTGAGTAAGAATACTATTGTCAACTTGCATTAAAATAAATTAAATAAAAATAAAAATTTCCTTTAATGTTAGAGCTTATTTTCAGTCACTTGATAACAATAAAAGTGAAGAAATGGCTCATTTTTTCAATGGAAATAAGTTATTTGATGGAAAGTAACACCAGGAAATGTTTTACTTTTGTGGTGTTTCAGATTTCTTGGCTGAGTAAGTTTAGAATATTTTATCATTTTATCTTAAATGTTTAGCTAACAAAGAATCTATATGTCTTCCGCTTACCTGAGGGCTTGGACGAGGATGAGATCAGTGAAGTCATGAAGGTCGACAAAGGCCTTCAGCACCCTTTCGTTGAACTCATTCCTCTCACCAAGATAGTCTCCTATAGCAGTCTTGTTGAGGCCTTCACCTTTGTAGAGGAAGGCAGCCACATCTTCCTCAGTTCGCTCCAGCAAACCGTGCTCTGTCAGGTACTCGATGCCCTTTTTAGGGTCCATGTTGAACTTCTTACGGCCGATCGACATTTGCTTTGCCCTTGTAGTGTTTTTACTACAAAAAATAAAATAAACAAAATAATACAACAAATTATTTAATTTTAATAAATCATAAATTCATAAAATTCTGGTGAATTGATTAAATCTATTAGTTTGTCGATTTTTCATTTAATTCATCAGAACTATTAAGAACCAGATCTGGTTTTATATTTGAAAAAGTGGCCAATAAAGAATTAAATATTCTCAAACGTTATGAACTTTTAGCTCATTGTTAGTTTAACATCACAAGTAAGGAAAATAATAGGTGAATTAAATAACATGAAACAAAAAAGTTATTCTATGAAAATGAATGAATCAAATTTATACAGTTTAAATCTTAAGTTATTGAAAAAATAAGTACAATTAAAAAAGCAAATTCAAAGGATTAGTAAAGATGCGATCGATGGAATGATACAGAACTTTGTATACTTCATTTAAATTCGAAGTTTTTCATGAAGAAAATATTTAAATAAATTATTTTTTTTAAATCAGCTCTATCAAATAATCAATAATAATCCTTTGATAAAATAAATAGAATTTTAACATTTAATAAATAAAATAAATGTGCTAAGATAAGATGATACAATTTTCTTCTGTTATTGCCATTATGCATGTTTTTTTTCTTCGATAAAATATTTTATTGTTAAAATTATGAAATAGTTCATAAATATTTTTCAAGGGGCCAGTAATCAAAATTAAATTCTTGACAACACAAATATACATATTAAAAAAAAATACACTCAAGGAGAAAAAAGTATGTGAATCTAAAAGATAAAAATAAAGAAACAAAAAAAAATTTTAAATATGAATTTTATCTTCAGTAAACGTTATCCTTTATAACTGATCTTTTTAATTTTAAAACTAAAATAAATTTTTCACAATAATATTGAGAAGTAAAAATATAATTATAACCGGCAATGAGCACAGATATCTCATTAATAGCCGCTAATTTATTTTCACAAAGTTAAGTACATACACCATTCACGAAGATAAATTGTAATTGCAAAATGAAATAATAAGTAAAGCAGCAACTTTGTTTTGAAACCAAGAAAACACAGAAATAATGCTGACCTTAGAAGAAATCATTATGAACAACAAAATATTTCAACTTGTGTGCTCGACACTCGCACAACGAATAAAGTATGAGAAAAGACATTGAAATTCTTAACTAATTACTTCCAAGGAATGAAACTAACTTACGTCACTCGGGATTTTTCCTTGTAAAGTCCGCTCTAACCCAGATTTTAGCCGTGCGTTGATTTCTCTTAATAATTTACGTCCTTATGCTTACACAAGTTTCAGGAGTATTATGTAAAAGAAATATTTTTTTCCAAGATAAATTTGTTTAATATGTATTCGACAGAAGGATGACCTTTTCGTCAAAATGAAAAGACACGCCTTAAACAAGCGACTGATACCGTGCTCGTTTTTTTTTCCAAATCAAAATTGAAAATCAGAAAAACTAAATACAAACACATACCTACTCAAACTCATGTGTACATACGCCTCACAAATTTACGGTTCGGCATAAAATAAGCACTTACAAAAACCCCAATCATTACAATCCAAAATTTTATTGTCAAGCTTATGACATGTGTGGATGAAGATATTAAGACGCACGAAACAAAGGCAAGTCGAAATAATGGTGGTATATCTCCTAAAATATGGAATAAAATAATATAAAATTGTCGACCGCATGGGGTACATGTCAGGGAATATAAGATATGAAAGTGACCAAATTCTAAATCATTCGCTATTGTATTTAAATTAGCAGGGACTAATATAGCCACTGCGCAAAACGACTATTTAGGTAAATGTTAATTTCCATTGAAAAAAAAAAAGAAAACAGACTAAAACGTTAGCATTCCCTTGACCCAGATGAAATATCCACTAAGTCAACATAATAAATACTAAAAACAAACTATGATAAGAATAAATCAACAAAAGATATAATATGAAATCCAGGTCGGTGCCCACCAGCTTAGGGGGTGCCCAGACGTTGCATTGGGTAGAAAACTTCAGACTTATGTGTATGTATATGCCGATCATACCACCTACTTATATCACCGTTGGCTAAGAAACATCCTTACTAAGTAAAATAGTAAAGGAGTCTTGTTAAGTCGTATTGTATCCTAATATAATATAGTGTTCTAATGTATCGAAGTTCATCGTAATGCATTTTTAAGTCTCAACTTACTGCCATTATTAGTCTGTCATTTAAAAAAATATATATATTGAGCACGGAAGAAGAGACGATCTTAACTTTTTTTCTAAAGCCCACCATTTTGTTAAATTAAATTCATATCATCAAACAAATCATAAAATATTAAAAAAATAATACGAGAAATAAATCCAGTAGTTCAATTGTTTTTAAAATCCTTGTTGCGGAGTTTTAATGCTTAGATTGTTACCGTTTTTTTAAGGCTATATTAATCATACTACTTTCAAAATGCATTTATCTGAGGTGCTATTGAATTAATGATGTTACAATAGTAGATTCATGTCGAACTTTTTTTTTTTTTTAATCAAGGTCATACAAGATATTTTAATTGAACCTGAAGTTGAATGAAAAAATTGAGTAATGAGATGTAATCAATTAAAAACAAAGTAAAAACTAAAAAAATGTAAACAAAAAAAGGTAAATTAACAATATAGAATATGTTGAGATTTCCTGAAATAATACCGTTGGCACCATATTAAGAGTAACGAATCTGGCATGTAAGTATCTAACAAAGGTATAAATTCGTAACAATGACATTACCTATTTCGATCGCCACATAGTTTCGACATTTTGCCACAAGGTAGGACAACAATGATAAGCGAACGAAATTGAAAAATACTATTTTTCAGATTTCTTCCTTTAACATATTTTGTCACAAGTAGACAAGTCTCTTTTGGACTGTTGATTAATGAGACTGTTAACATGACATGCTTTGTGTTTATTTTGCTTTCATGTAATCATCTGATGGTCCTTGAACAAGCGAAGGGTTGCCATTTGAGAAATATGATGCTTGATCATTGGAATCTTCTGATATATTAAACTTGATAGGCAGATTGTCAGAAGAAGGAATTTCCCACTAAGAGAACAGTTAGTTAACGCACTGCCCTACTTGAACTTGTACACCTTCCTCCCGCTGAGATAGACAAGAGAGGGACGGTAAAATATTAAGACGAAGGCCGTGGATTAAATAGTAACGAGACAGATAGTACGGGAAGGGAGAGTACTTTAATGAGAGAGCTAAATGGTCGAGGAGCGAAGGCGCCATTACAGGAGGCAGGCAGCTATCAAAGTGGAAGGAGGATCTTACCAAGTCCGCCATTAACATCTTCCACCTTCCTCCGAAATTAAACCAACATTTCCCTTTTACTATATTTATTCACTTTATAAAATCTTATCAAATAACAGCCACTAAGGGACCTTTGTAAATAAATATGTTTTGAGGAAACCCGGTGCAATTGCAGAGAACTCCATTTAACAATTTAAAAAATCTGGTGCGGTGCGCGAATCACACAACTTTCACTTACCACCTTCTTCTTAGCCGAAAGAAGTATTTCAAACAAAGGAGAAGTGAAAGTAAACATTATAGACGCTATAATTATTTATATTTCATTGTGGGTATTTTTATTTGTATAAGTACCCTTATATATACAAATTTTAATAGTTATATCGGTGTAATCTATACAATTAAATATTAAATAATACCAACAATAGCATTTATGAAAACCGCATAGGTATATTTATATAATATTGCCGAAGTCCATATTATGTTAAGCTAATGTTGCGTTTGGAAGACTGTTATAATCTTTCGGGGCAGCTGGGGTACGATCAATTACAACTATTCTCCTTTACGATTTTTTATTTCTCCTTAAGTCAATTATGAAATTATTTCATATTTTATATTTAACTATCTTATATATTAGAGATTAATGTGAAATGGTCAATTGTTTCAAATAAAAAAAATTGAAGGTACTTGAGGGGAAGCTAATATTGAAAATTAGCCAATTAAGCTCTGTGAGAGAACATCAATCAGAATAAAAACTACATTTTATTTAAAACTGCCTAATTTTACACTGATATAATGAATTTAATCAAAATCGTTAAAGCCGTTCCCGAGAAAATTGTAAAAATGTGTTTAGACCATGATATGAAGCGCCACTTCCGGTTAGTCGAGTTTGACGAAAGTTACTGTAACATCCCTAGCATATAAAAATCTTAAATATGAAATTTCACTTTCGCACGATTTTTCGTTTTTGAGCTAGACTGTTAACACACACACAGACCATTTTGCGGGACTAGGTTATTTGGACTCAGGGGACCTCAAAATGTGTATTTCCGTTGAAAACGAAGATTGAAAAATTTTCACGATCACAATACTTTCCTTTACTATATATTTCATATAGGGGTAAGTGGAAGTAAAAATATGTTATTATAACGAATATGTTGGCTGTAAAATTCGGTAGGCAGTCAACATATGGTAATGGGAGGTTATAAAAAGTTTTTAAACTTATATGCCTTTCTCGAATCGAATGCATGTGACGGGTAAATAAGACCAACTACCCATAATTAGTATGATGAAATATCGTCCATTTTTATCTCCTTCAGATGGTATAGTGTATGTAATAGGCATGCGTATTTCCTAAACAAGAAAATAGCTCTAAAACGAATCTTCCCATAGAGTCAATATTGTCAAAAGATAAATCATAGACCTTGAAATATATGTAATTAGGTAACCATAGAAGAGGTGAGGAAAATATACTGACCTAACTTGGCATACGTTTTATTGTTAGAGCTGTTTCTGAATGATTTTAGCATGAATCTACTACAGTGATATAACTGCGCCCCTGGAAATATTAAAATAAACAAATTCTACACATTTTTAGAAAATTTTAAGTTTCCCGATTCACCGCTCAAACTGAAGTAGTGCGTGGTACAGACCCCTTTTTATCAAATTATTAACACCCGCCAGAAACTTGGTAAATAGCTTCATCTCATCGTAACCTACTATATTACTTACCTACCTACTATATTACCTAACCTACCTATTTTATTTACGAAAACTCTGGGAATTGGGCCGTTTTTAATCTGGAGGGGGACAAACTTTGTTTATTTAATGAGCTACTAAAAACTCGTAAATACCCATTTGCTTTCCACTTAGATCGTAAGATAATTTGATAAAAAAAAATCGAAAAAAAATATTGGGCCGTTTGTGCCATATGCGTCGTATATTTTGACAATTTGGCGGTGTAGGTCACGCCAAACGGCTCAATATTTTTGAAGGCCAACTTTGTTCTCGATTTTGTGCCAACATTATCTTACGATTCTGGTGTAAAGCAATATTTACGAGTTTTTATTACTTGATTAAATATACAAAGTTTGTCCCCTTCCAGATTGAAAACGCCCCAATTCCGATAATTTTCGTAAATAAAATATTTGTAGATTAAGATGAGATGAAGTTATTTACGAAATTTCAGGCGGATGTTAATTTGATAAAAAGGAGTCTATACCACGGACTAGATGCTTCATACAAAATGTTGAAAATTCAATTATTGTTAGCATTTTTTATTTATTCTGCGATGCCCAAAAACATATGCTAAAATGATTGATGTGAAATGAGAATTATTACGGGAAAAGCATGAATTAGAAAATGACTGTTCTATGCAAGGTCACGAGGCCACATTCTTTTCACACGCGTCAGAGGATAATGAGCAACTGAATGAGAAGCAAGATTAGGAACTAATGGGCACTGAGAGTATGAAGGTTAATAATAAAAAAAAAAAAGTTTTAAAACTATTAGATAGAAAAGGTTTATTTGCAGATTTTTTTTCATAAAAGAAAAAAAGTTGTTATCATCAACCAAGAGGTAGCGTATTCAAATGGAGACAGGCACTCCAAAGTTAAAAGCGAGCCGATGACGATGAGATGGGCTTGTGATCTGGGGCAAGCGAAAGAGGTTCGGGAAAAAGGAACACGGGAGGCAAATTGTTAAAGAAGCAGCTCTCTTTCATTCACAAAGGCAGATTGCCTTCGGGAAAGCCAGGAAAAAAAAATGCGGCTTCTCAATCTTGTGTTTTCCAACATCTGATGTCTCCCTGCGATAATGAGTGATCGGGCTCCTTTTCACCGCTCCCGGATAAAAAAAGTTGTAATGTTGGCTAAGGGCAGAACAATGTCCCGGCCCACTCCAGCGGCTTTCTAACCGGGTGAGGGGTGAATGAAAGTGATCATCCTCTCCATTGGGGGGGGGGGTTGCTTCTGTCAGGGCAATCTGCCTATTAACTAATTATCTTTTTCATCGAATGGTCGATTTCGAATTCAGAAATGTCGTAATATATAAATTTTAACTTATGTGAATTATTTAATAGGAAGGAATTGAGTAATAATGATGTTATAAAATAATTAAAGGTGACAAGAATAAAAAAAAATATGAGTAGACGCATGCAATAATCGAAAAGGACAGGTACATGATGGGTATTTAGGTATACATAAAAAAAATCATTATATTTTGAAATATGTAAAGTTTAGATATGATTGTAAATTGAAAAAAAAAAATTGTTTGACTTGAAAATGGCTCGACGAGCCGAAACGTCGTAATTGAGATGTGTAGTCATTAAGTTGACAAAATTAAAAGTTGGTGTAAAATTGGCTGATAATAAATAAACTTTAAAATAAATAGTATGCACCGAAGAAGTGAGAAATATTGTGAATGTATAAATTCCTCTCAAATACTTTTTTTTTTAAATACAATAAGTAAATTTGACATTGGTAACATGACATGTACAACATGAAGAGAAACTACCCATTGGTAGAACTCAAATTAAAGTTCTTCTTTTCAGACGCCTCGGAGGGTTATCAGGGATCGAGGAGGAAGCAAGGTTTGAAACGAGAGGATTCGGATGGTTCTGCAGTTTGTTATGGAAGGATAGGTATCTGGATTGGGCCAAATCGGAAACATATGGACCATTAAGGTCTTTATGGATGATTTTATTTGTGACAAAGTAAGGAGCGTTGAGGATTTTACGAAGGATTTTGGATTGTAAGGATTGGATACGAGAGGAATTCGATGGTTTAGTGGAGCCCCAAAGCTCAATTCCGTAAGTCCAAATAGGTCTTATTATTGTCATATATATGAGTCGTTTGTAATTGATTGAAAGCTTAGAGCTTTTGTCTAGTAAGTGGTGCAGTAGTCGAAAACGTCTGGCGGTTTCTAGTCGTTTCAGTCTGGTATGGGGGGGGGGGGGTTCCAAGTGAGTCGTTTGTCAAGGTGGAGGTCCTAAGTATCGGATTTGTTCGACAGGGATAAGAGGGCTATTGTTGAAGGATACTGTAGGACAGTAAGTCATAGGTTTACGACGAAGATTGAAGGTAATTTGATGGGATTTATTGGAATTTATTTTAATCCTCCAGTTTTGACACCATTTTTCAAGACTTGTAATGTGTCTCTCAAATACTAAAATAAAATATTTTTGAAGTTATCGCTTCCTATTCAATAAAAAACGCGACTCGCTTAAAAAACAAACCAGATCTTAAATTTCCTACTTTTCTGCTCGAAACTGAGCAGTAGTTTATATGAACTTTTTAGTAGATCTTGATGACTACTATTAACATTTTATGTATTTCCCTCTACTAACGGGACATCCTCATATACGCCGAGACAGTAAAAGAACTATTTACGGATTCTTAATTAACTTCAGTTTTTGTTTTGACTTGAGGAAATACATTTCATAATTTATCTTTAAGAAGAGTTGTTCTCAGCTCTATATGAATTCATATTAAACTTCAGTCAATATTAAGGGAGTTTTCAGTCAATATATATAGATTGTTAAGAAATGATAACTCTAAACTAGCCAATTTATAATTGGATTATTCCAACTGGATGGAGCGGGTTATGTTGAACAGGATTCAATCTTGTACTGCAGCTGAGGTACTAAACCTGAACTGAACAACCGATTCCAGCATATCGTGGAGTTGTCCTCGCCTCGCGATAGTGCTCCAGCAGAACCGCCAGCAAGTAACCAATAGAATTGCCCTTTATTATCTCCACTTTCCGGCTGGGTTATAGGAGGTGGGGGGGAGGGGAGGAGGGGAGGGAAGCTTCCAGCGATAGCCTTATCTCTACCGGGAACAGCTATCTTCCAACAACAATAACAACAGGATACAACTTCAGCCAATGTCTTAACGTATCTCTTCACCGCTGCCACATGGAAATGCACTCGAGCTCAAAACAATGGGCCAACGATTAGTGTAATAGCAGAGTAAGTGTATCCACGAGTTCACATCGGCAGTAATAGTTCATTATAGGAAGGTAATGAACTAAGAAACCTTCAGTTTCTCAAACAGCAGAAAACAATTAACCAGTAAGAGCTTCGCTAAGCCATGCCTTAACATTATTGAAAAAGGTACCGGCAGATCTTTGATGATACGAATCTCACTTAAATAGCTTAAAAAATAATAATAAATAAATATATCACTTCGAAACTGTCCAACGTACAGTGTATATATAGCTCTGGAGCCAGAGCTTAAAGTGACCTCAGAACAGGCGGAGATTTGAATATACATTACGTAAGTGTACGTTATTCTAAATAAAATGGACTTTGCCTGTCATTCAGAGCCGATGCTTTAAAAAATGGCGGCTATTTTAAAGAATGTTAGGCCAGTAAATTGAGGATCGAGAGGGAAGTATATTGCGAAAAATATAGGAAAAGTGTTTATTTTTTTCACTTATAAACTGCTAACACGAGCAACCAAGGGAAAACATTTTACAGCCATAAAAAACACAATTTTTCGATATTTTTCCGTTTCAAACCTTCGCTTGTGTAGAGGTCCATTTTTGGGTCCTGGCTATAGGGCTATACCATATACATATGCGTTATTTTCAATTTAGCTAAAAGTAAATAGTAGTTCCTAATATTTAGATTTTAACATAAAAAAATCAGAGATTTTTCATTAGTTTTTCTTTTCTTCAGAGTTCGCTTTTTCTTTCAATATATTTTTTTTTCCTTACGATTATATTTATTAATGATTTAGAGATGGTTGACCGTTGATATAATATGAGAAGGAGTTGATCGGGGGGTGCGGTCAAATAAATACTAAATTAAACAAATAGTATTATTTAATTTTTGCCGACGTTTTGACCCACTTGAATGAAGATCTGCAAATTGAGTCGAAACGTCGGCAAAAATTATATGACACTATTTGTTTAATTTAATATTTATTTGACCGCACCCCCCCCCTGATCAACTCCTTCTCAAATTATATTAATTGTTGAGAAGATTTTATTTTAGTTGTTTATACATTGTTATTAAAGTTACTGTGAATATTATTTTAATTTTTAGAATATAGGTTTTGACCAGATATTTTTTATGTTTCATTGTTATTCTTAGCGAAACCAGCAACAGAATAAATTTTAGTTTTCCGTTTCTACAAACTAAATCATTGCACTGGGGCGGAAGCTCCTCAAAATATAAAAATATATATATATTTTTTTATGGTCCATATCTGTTTACATGAGTGATTTATGCTAAATACTTAAACTATCACAATATATTCACTTTTTAAATTATAATGCACATACTGTTACTAAATGTAAGCACGTGTAAAGAAAAAATATCAGATAATTATCTCTAAAAGTACAAGCGTTCTTGTAACTATCTTTTTTTTCTTCAACGACCAATTAAACATCATTTCATACATACAGGTTTTTCCCTTTTCTTACCGGATAACTATCATTAAAAAAAAAATGAATTAAATCCTGGATCGGCTACTCCTACATGGCATTGACAAAGTCTAATATGTATTAAATATTACACGGTACAACATTCCTTTTAAGGCTGTGGAGGGATGTGTTATCTGTATTCTAATTTATGTTATATTTTTTAATTTTTTTTATTCCTGGAAATGGCTTATTAGGTGAAACAAGTTAATTAATCGACAAGTTAATTATTTACTGAAGAGACTCGAGGTTTTGTCATTGAATCTTCCTATTGTTGAGTTTTCACTCATAAATTAAAAAAGTCAATAAATTAAAAGTAATGCCATTCATGAGAAATGGGTCGAGTTGAATGGGGGCCAGATTCGCAAGTTCTTTAATTTTGTTCTCGCCTATTTTAAAATCCTATAGTGTGCAAGGTTCGCAACACCTGCGTCATATACTAAAATATTTGCTTGAGACTTCCAGCCTGCAACATGTGCAAAATCTAAATAGAATATTGAAGCGCGTAGTCGTTTGCCTATAATTCCCTAAGAATAGTTAAGTCTACAGAAACTTAGCTTTGATGTAAATATATATTTATACGTTTTTGTTTATCATTCAGCATTTAAATGCTCTTTTTTTAAATGTTTATAAGTTCTATGTTTATAATGTAGTTATGTATGTATAAATATGTAATTTCTCTTCTTTTTTTTTTTTTCATCACAATTAAGTAATTTTGAGAAGATTTTATGTTCATTTGTATATATATTTTATTTTTTATTTTTTACTGGTTACATACTTTTTAAATAATGTATATAATATTAAAATTTTTATAAGTTAGTTTTTGGCCAGATTTGTACTTTACTTTGTATTAACTCATCATTGTTATTCTAAAGGGACTTAGTCCCGGAATAAAGTTTAATTTTCTATTCTATTCTATTCTATTAGCTACCTAAACCACGAATCGAAAATAAATAAATAAATATAATTTAGTAAACAAAATAAAGAATACCTCCTAATTACAATTATTGATATGTAAATATTAAATAATTATTTTTATCGTATATTTTTTTTTACAGTTGATTAATGGCTTTTCGCCTTTAAATAAATACTTTTAAGTAAGAGCAATTAGTGGTGATGTTTATCAACAGTGACGTCTGGTTCTATAACCGTCTACCTCTTCCAACTATTTATAGGAATAAAAGAGCAGCAGTCTCGAACATAATACAAACTTGTTGAAGAAAGTAGCGCGCTGAGAAAATCAATGGCGATACAAATATATCCGATAAATGATGTTCTGCCCTGTATGCTTAATTATATATCCAGCTTTTTTTTTCTCTGAGTGGTTATCAGATGAATGAAACAAAATGTTTAATACTTAAAATTTCCTCTATCATATTTTGTTTTTTTTTAAACCTGACAATCATTCATAATGTGAGTCGAAACGTTGTAAATAAAACCATGAAATTATAATAAACATACATATTTTTAAAAGTATATATGTTTTATTCGCTCTAACAAACACAACACCCCTGAATTATTTTATCCCATTTACTAGAAACACATCATCAATATATTTCACTAAATCGGAATTTGGAAGTTTTAGTAAATACTACAAAATGGATAGTTTATGGTAAATATTTAGAACTGAATTATGGTGTAAATAATCTATACTGGTTGAGTAGTAATGTCAATAGAAAATTAAGTTTTGATCCCAAAGCTGTAAAGAAAAAATATATACTTTAAAACATTATAGTTTCTACCGAAATAGGATATATTAAATTATTCCAACAAGTTCATAAATATTTTTTGCTGGCTGAAAAGACCAAGACAATATTTTAAAATAATGAAAATAAGGTTAGTGCCAGAATTGCCATTGACACTGCCAAATTCATTTTTAAATTAAGGTAATTGGAAACTTCTCCTTAATTAGAAAAAAAAAAAAACACTAGAATGTTGCACGTGAAATACACACTTTTAGAGATAAAAATAAGTAATTAATAAATTTTAGAAAATGAAAAATCTGTTTTAATTTTTATTTTAAGTCAATTAATTAATTAATTAAATCAATATGCACTTTTCAATGAACTTAAAAACATTTGTGAACAAGTAATGAATATTTCAAAAGACATTTATCACTCTTTATTAATTTTAAGATCATGTATATCTAACTACTACGGTGTATATAATTAAATATTTAAAAAATAGTTTAACAAAGAATCAGTAGATTTCCATTTATTCATATAAATATATTCATTAATGTAATAATTAATAATTTAAAAGAACAATTATCTTTGTAATAGATAAGCATTTTTGTTAAATCTTATATGCACAGATATAGAAATTGGAGAAGTCAAAACACCTTGAATTAAAAAAAAAAATACTCTCGATATAGAAGCTAAAAATTAAACCCAGTTTTTTTATCTTCAAAAATGTAGCTGTTGTATTTACATTTATATTTTAACATAGTGGTGACAGCATGATTACGTTCTCAGCAAATATACCTAGTTGTATTTTTATATTTGCAAAATTTTTATAAACGCCTTTTGGCAAACATTGTTAAATGTATTTTTTGGGAAATTTCCTTTCCAATGAATGACTTGTAAATTTTATAGGAGAAACTCCAAGAGGGGACTTTTAACGATTAAACGTCACATAAAGTGTATTGCGATTCGTTTTAGTGACTTACCATGGCAAAATAAATAATACTGACATAGCAAATTGATAATTAATAAATTTATCCCGTTTGTCTTCGCAGACAGTAATTGATGATGATATATCGATATCGTTCAGCATCAAGAACAACACTAAAGAATATATCTAGTTACAAGACATTACATTTATCACTAAAATGATTATTCTCATGAACGATAACTTACATCTGATAGCAAGTATATAATTCTTCTGTAATTAAAGAATCAAAGTATCAACACATCGTATTTCAGAAGTTGTTTACGTTACTTGCAACGCCATAAATTATAGTTGTTAAAGGCACTATAAAGCTTACGACATCAACCTGACAGGACATTTACTGATTATTAAACGAACATCATTAATTAGAAAACACAGATATATCTAGTCAACTTGATAATGAAATATGAGGGATCATTGAACTTGGCAGAAAAATTATGTTTGAAAACATAAATCCCACTAGATGATAGTTGACCGTATTACAAATCAAGAAGATCTGGGTGTTAGTCAGAAAAACATCATAAACAAAATAACTGCTGATTATTTATACAATTCTGACGTTTCAAACCACATCATAGTTTGATAATCCATTTTCTTTGTCAAAATGATTCGTGTTACTATTTCGCCCTTATGAAGACTTACAATGTTTTCAACTTACAATGGCATAGAATAAATAATTAGCAGTTATTTGATGTTTTTTTTTTTTTTCTGACTGACTCTCGGACCATCTCTTTCTTATATTAATAGATATTTAATATTTTCTATAAATTAATATTTATTTGGATACATTTATATATCTGCTAATGTTATTTTTATTGTATATACTAAAGATAAATATTATAGGCCAAGCTTGTTAAAGCGTTGAGCATTTAAGTATAGGTGCATTTTAAGCCTACAGCTCCAGAATAGATAGACCCCTTTGACCGATTTGGCAGAGGTCTTTACACCGACTCGCTCGAGTTCACGGTCAGTGACAAATGGGTCTAAATCCATGGATTATGGCTGTCCAAGGTCAGTGGGCATTCGATGACATCAATGAAACCAGAGATGTCAAACTATTTATATAATCATGGAAACATATTACGACAAATCAAAAATATTCTAAACTTAATTGAGGATTTTAACATTAAATTAAAAATATTAAGAAATAACTGTTATCATAATGTGAGTACCAAGAATAGTAAAAGAAGTGAACTAATATTGCTTTTATATGTTATAATATTTTGTGAAATAGATATCCTTGTATTTTAAATAGATATCCTTGTAACTTTTTTTCTCGATTTTCATATTATTTTATTTTTCAACTTTTCGATGGGATTCCCGACATCATCAGGTTAATTTCAGATCTACCACTGAGTTTACCTATCTATGTGTCTTATATAGAGCCGTTTAATGTCAATAAAGGACCATAATAAATATACAGACATGTGACGGAGAAACAACATAACAGTAAAAGATTCCTTTTTAAATATGTATTTTAAAAACACGATAAAAGTATAAAAAATAAGGATACCTATGCTGGGTACTAAATACCTTTAAAAACATATCACGGAATTCGCTTTGATAGGCCCTTCAAGGGTGCGTCATTCAAACATTGTATTCACACGTTTCATTTCCAACTTCGTACGTCGAATATATTGAACATGATAACTTGAATTTCGTTTGAATAAATAACGCCATCTATATTTCCTCCAATAAGACGGTTAGTTTTAAGGAAGCTGTATATTAGTTTTTAAACACTTTTCGCCCACTCGTTACTTAAGTATAAGAAAAAATATTTTTTTGTTTGAAAAAAATATTAAAACAGACGAAAAACATATTTTTTTCTTAAATCGCGATTTTATATATATATATATATATATATATATATATATATATATATATATATATATATATATATAATATTTTTAGGAAAACACTAATTTTTTTCACCATTTTTTCTCCAATTCCAACCTAATTCTTGTTCGAAAAAGGATCTTGAAGTTATTTTCGTTCCAATATTTTTTTTAATACTGAATATATTCTGCAAATAAAGAAATTAATTTAATTAACTTAATTTATTATTATTGTTTTAATATTGGTTTTGGTATTACAATTGGAATAGACAACATAGTTTTTGGTTCTTCCTGAAAAATTGTTAATAATGATGAGGTTCACTTCGGAAACAAACGACTCATATTATTGGTAATAAATAAATTACGTCTGATAAGTAGATCAGTATGTTTTCTACACAATTATGGGAGGAAACGAATGGCAAATGCAAACATTGAAAATCCATAAGAAAAAATAAATTACCCAATATATATAATATAAAATTTTATGAAATTGATAATGAACCATTTGTGTACTGATTACAAATTTTCTACCAAATTTAATTAGCCTAATATAAATATAGGTGTGTCAAGGAAAATAAGTATGCGCAGACGTAAGTGAAAGTAGTAGATAGAATCCGAAGAAATAACACTGGATAATATTTACGCTTACCTTTAAATCTCCAACTTTATGACAAATTAGACGAGCAATATTCCAAATATGTTTCATGGATACATTCGGGCATAAAAAAAAAAAAAAAAAAGAAGTAGTGAATAGAATTAGATAAAATTGATATGGGAACCAATCCTTACAATCGTAAAAAAAAATCATTACATCGAATGAAGGGCCGGTAGTTATGCCCGTTACATGAATTTCACTACAAATAGAGAAACATATACGGAACCAAAATTGTTCTTGATGTCTAAAACATAAATCGCTATTGTGAATATTTAATCCTGAGTTCAAAATTTGTTTTCACTTTAAGCATTAATACAATCTTTCAAACCTTCGATAATGAGTAAGTAAAAATTATATATCAAACAAACTGTAATGAAAAAGTAAAACAGTGATGACTCATGTAATTTCACCACCAATAAGAAATTTTCTTAACAATGGAGCGACAAGAGTTTATATCATTAATAATGCTGTCCGACAATTACGATGAATGAATACATTTTTACGGATCAAAAAACTTATAAAAGATACCCTTATAAATAATCATAACCATAAAAAATTATGGCTGGATGTTTTAAAATCTAGCTTTGTTGTTATCTCGGAATCCTCCCTTGAAGTCGTGAAAGTATCCCATATATATTGTTGTAATGTGATCTTGTAGAGTATACAGTATTCTGTCATTGTTGTACTAAAGTATCGTGAAATGAGTCGTAAAAATTTACGATTGAAACATTTGTACCTTATATAAGTTTAATCCTTGTAAATTTGCTAAATACAATTATAAATAAGTTTTACTTCATATTCAGCCGGAGTCGCGCGTATTCAAAATGGGCAGCGTCTACAACAATTCGGGTTGGTTTGCGGAACCTGTTTGCTGCCTATGTATACTGGATTATTTATGGCTTATGTCCCCATGACCTCCATATACTATGCGATGTATTTTATTATTGTTTTCTATAATTTGTCTAATGTTTTAACTTGTCCTAAAATTTTAAAGTACGGCTAAAAATTAATGGAACTTTTAGTTATGCTGAAGTTAATTGGTAACGAACTTGCGGCCTCCAAACGTTTTGTGCAGTCTTGATTAATCAAGCGCTCGAATTAATTAATATTTATTAATAATTATTTAGGCTATGAAAATTTGTAGAATTAATTAGAACATATTTATGTGGGTGTGTAAAAAATATAAAAATTTACTCTAACGATAAAAAGCTTCTCCACCTATGAACTCCACTATAATAATGTAATAAACAATAATTTATTTACAGTAGTTATTTTTATATTCTATCATTGCTTTGATTATAAAATTTATTTAGTGTTCCGTTCTAATTTCATTTAGCTATTATTATATTATTGTTTTAGCACCAATATTGTAATCCTATTACCCATCTGCTTTTGTTAATATATCCTAAGAGCTATACTTATTTTATTATTTGTATTTTAGTTATTCGTTATTGTAATAGATCTTTTGGCCAGATATATTGTTAATTTATAAGAACAATAATGTTATTCTTAAGGGAACTAGTGCCAGAATAAAGATGATTTTCTATTTATGTTTCTAACAATGTACGTATCTTATGCCCCTATAAAAAGGTATTTTTTCTTTTTCTTTAATGATGGCAATCTCCTTACTTAAATAAAAAATCACTCATGATATCATATAAGATAATGATATATTTAAATAAGTGTAAAGAATAAACGGTCAACTGTGCTGTAAAATTTTATAAATATAATCTCCAAAATGGAATAAATTAAATATTCTATTTTTAATAAAATTAATTAAAATACAAACCTGTCGTCGGCCGCATCCATATTTTCCATTTCTGCAACGACTTCTCCGAGCTCATCTTTGAGTTGCTGAAACAGAAAAAAAAAAAAAAAATGCTTATAAATCTCATACCGAAAATAGAATGAATCATATTAATAAAAAACAAATAATATTTAACTAGTGAATTATCCTTAAGTAATTTATCAAGGGTGCATTTAAATGACCAATGAAAATTACAAATCTAATATTATTTAATTTATATTTAATAGCTATTATTAATTTAATTTAATACTTGTTAGTTATTATTAATAACTAGAGATGAAAAAATTAAGTCGATAAAGTTAAAAGGAATATAAAAAAAAATTGCTATTTGCAAGCCATTATAGAAATAATTGTATCCTGCTATGAAAACACCAAGTGTCCACAAACAGAATGGTATAGACTAACAAGAGCAGGAGCGAGGAACCACAAATAAGAAGGCTATTGTATCTATTCTCCCTCGTGTAGCAAGTATATATTAGCTATGCTTTGCCCAACCATCAAACCTTCCACACTTTCTTATTTTTATACTAAACAATAATACACAGCACCCTACATTATTGAGGCACGAGTCGAATGAAATTCCAATACAATACAAATGTAAAATACCCTCCTTGTCAAAGTATGCATATTTTTAATATGTACCAACAGGATAAACAGTGCAAAGAAGTTAAATAAGACATCTGATATGTTAAAACACCACTTTCAAACCGATTTAGGGCGAACTAAATCCACATTAAAATATGTCGATTAAAAAAAAAAATTGATTAGCATAATTTTCTTGAGCAATCTATACCAATTGAAAACGTTAATATCGCAAGAAACACGTTTTATATAAAGAAATAACGTTTTCGTATATTCCCAAATTCCGAAATCGTCCTATCAAGTGAAACTGCTGAAGATAAGAACGTACAAGAAATTACAACTACCGTTTTATTTTCAAGCTGAAGATAACAAATTATAAACTTGGTGGAGTTAACTACATTAAAATGTATAACTTAAAAAATATATAATGCTTACTACCGGTAGCGGATCAAGGATTTTTTTTAATTTAATGTATTTATGAAATGATTCTGGAAGAAAAAGAATTACATAAAACGATGTTTAAGTGCTCCTTAAAGGGATAAAACAAAAAAAGAGATAAAAAAAAAAAAATAGACCTTATCACAGAAATAATTATACTTTAAGGGATAATTATTTCTTCTCAATGTGCTTATATTTATTAGCTATATATGTATACGTTATAATTGAAAAAGAGCAGGTACAGTTAATCATATGTACCAATGAAAATATATATATTTTTACATTTTGAGATAGGGGACAGGATTATGTGGCATAGACAAATGGAAAATTTTGTTGAATTTTTCAGACTCGAAAAGCTCTGTATCGTAGAAGTACATTGAAAACCGAAGTTTTCGGAATACAATTAGATTATATATCAATACTTACCTTGCCTAGCACTGGAGATTAGGATATGTTAAAAAAGTATAATAAATAATGTTTTTTTTTCATCCGTAACTCAGTAACGCTAAAATCAGACATGGCCTCTCCAAAATCGGGTGCCGCTATCATACATTAATTATTAAGCAGGTAATGAAGGTGGATCGTATGCAGGATACAAAATATAGTGGGTGGCTAAATAAAGTATACTTTTCATGTAATGTAATGAAATTAGGTTTACAAATAATTAATTATTTCAATAAAAATTGATTTCAACAAATATTTATTTAAATGGACATTAGTCGAAAAAAGAATCAGAAGCATATAAACAATTTTTGCTAGACCTCTAGAGATAAGTTTTAATTGAAATAAATTAATTGACCCAAATGGGAATGGAACCTACACCGTTCTGTGACAATCACCCAAGCACGAAGGTAAAACCATTTTTATCTTACTTAGATCGCAACAATAACAACAAGAAACAAAGAAATCCGTCGATGGGACAATTTAAAAATAATTTAACGTATTACGGAAGTGATATGTCATGACTCTGAACATTTCAGTGAACAAACAAATATTCATTACACTAACTACGCTGGTAACAATGCCATGGATCTCACTCAGAGAATAAATTAGAATCATTTTAGTAATTCAATACTGTATCAATTAACAGTGTAACGGTTATAATGACGTGTTAGCAACTATAGAATCGGATTTCATTGTTTCTCATTTAAATGTTGTAACTATCAGTAAATGCTTAAATCAAACCTCGTGACTTGATAACATTCAGAGGAAATCCAATTTAATATTTACAAAGGGCAACAAAATACGAGAAATCCGTTGCTACTTTCTTTATTTTATTTCAAGAAATTAATTTGAAAATGAAAATAACTTTTAAGTTATTTTAAATAACTTTTAAGCGCAACATGTTCAAAGGAAGTAATATAATTGTTAAAGACCATTTTAACAGAGAAAATTAAATATATTAATAAATGTATATAAACTACAGACACGCAGATTAAGTCATAGATAACAACCAAGTGGGTTAAACAACATTATTTCTCATGTTCCGCATTTTAAACATCTTCGTCATGGACTGTTTTTATCAAAAATTACGGCAACGCGAATCATAACGGTGCTTCGGTATATATATCACAACGGTATATATATAGTGTAATTTATAATACCAGATTTATTAAAATACACTTTTATTCCTCAAAAATCTTGTCAATGAATATTCCTTATTAAAATAAATAAATCCAATAATAATAATAATAAATAATAATAATAAGGCTTAGCGAACGCGAAGGTTCGATGCCGACACCACCAATCGCTTGTTACACAGCTCCCTCCACCGTTCGCCGTCCAAGCCCAGTCCCTTCAGATCGGCTTTAATGCAATCTTCCCACCTTCGCTTCGGTCTACCGCTCAGACGCCTACCATTCGGCACAGCAAATATTAACCTTTTAGGAATTCTCTCGTTACTAAGCCCAACAACTTTACAAGCCCATTTGATTCGCCGCGATGAAATTACCTCAATTATATTACCCGGATATAGCTCACGCAATTCGGCGTTGTGTAACCGTCTGAACTCTCCGGTTAACTCATCCTTCTTCGGTCCGAATATTCTACGCAATACTTTATTTTCAAAAACCTTAAGACGCTGCTCATCCCTTAATGTAAGCGGCCAAGTTTCGCATTCATAAAGAACTGTAGGCAAGATAATTGTTTTATAGATTCTAATTTTTAAGTTCCGGGACAAGAGGCGCGAACAGAGTAGTTTTGTTACAGAAAAATAACAAGCATTTCCCGCCTTCAGTTTAACCTTAATCTCTTCTTCAATTTCGTTTTTTCTAGTTATCGTAGAACCTAGATACCTAAATTTATCTACTTGTTCAAACATATTACCATCTATATCGATATCACCAGTAGTATCGCCATTTTTGCAGCTAACCATATATTTTGTTTTATCCACGTTGATTTCGAGTCCTAGTTCTTTACCGGCTTTCATTAACGTTGTCGTATTTAGTTTTGTAGTTTCAACGTCTTCGCTTAACAGTACCAGATCATCAGCACGACCCAGCACGGATAAAATAAATCCAATACAAAATTAAAATATAAAATTATTGTAATTATCTATACTGTATTTTATCAAAAATATAGGAATGCGTTGGTTGTTTAGCAGTAGCTACTATGTATTTAATACATTTTTTTATATAGTTAGATTTAATATTGGTTACTCATCTGGTTTTGTTTTGAAGGAAACAGCTGTGCCTAACAATTTTATCTATAAGGAAGAATGATTAACGAAAATACCAAACAGGTAAATAAAATTCATAATTATTTTTACAGTGAAATATGTAGGTGTCATTACATTCTGTATTAATGCCAGAATATATTTTTATTTAAAGCACTTCCATTTGTTTTAGTTTATTTTGTTGTATAAATATTTTTTTATAGTTAGTTTTTTCAATATTTATTTAATTGTCGTCTATTTATTTATATTTCTTTTATATATTTTTTTCGATTCGTTTCATGAATGGTTTTAATGTACCCTTAGAGGCATAATACGTATTGCCCTTGAACGTGGCAGATTGTATCATTATTTTTCCAACAAGAAAGAACTCTCAACGCACTTCAAGTGAAGTAACTGTCTATGAAGAAAGAAAAAAAAAAAAAAACCTTTCAAGAACCAATTTTAGTAACACCATACATACAGAGACTATTTAACATGAAATGAAGCTCAATAACCCTGGATGTGGCTTGAGCCAGCCGTTAGGCACGGGCAATTCCCTCTTGTTTTTCACAGCAGATCTCCGCTCAAATGAAAATGAAAGCGTAAAGAATCGATTTTCCTTGAGTAACTTATAAAATTGTGAAAGGGAAAATGTTGCATGCAACTCCTCATGATCATTGAACGCTCTTCTCCAGTTCAACTGATATGCCACATGCTTATATTAATTCCCCTCAATATATATATACGGCAACAAGGCTTCACGTACCTTTTAAACATGATTTAATATATATATTTTATATAATGTTTCTTTTTATAGTTAAGAAACGTATATTTAAGAGTGCGATAATCTTAACAGCGTTATAACATTTCTTTTTCTCTTTATGTAAACTTATGAATAAAATTATGCTACTTGGAAATAATAAGACCTTAATTTAGGCTATGTACTTAGAGAGGACTTTAATTAGGAAGCTGCACCCACGCAATCCTAGGAGGAGAAACTGCAATACCTTACGAAAATTGGAACAGTTCCAAGCTAGCGCGATAAAGTAGCAACCCGGAAACCAACTAAAGTCTCGGGCAGGCCTCCGCAATTACCGACATTATTTATTATACCATCGGATAACAACCAACTATTTTAATTTCCTTTTCATGTTGGCACAATTTCGCTTTCGAAATAGGATCGATCTATAATTACTTATGAAAATATACCAATATTTAAAAAAAAAAAAACGAATTCCGGGTATAGTGTAATATTTTGAATAAATCAATTCATATGTAAGCAATTTTTGGTTAAATATGTTGCCGCTGAATACGTTGAACTACAAAAAAAATGATAGTCAAATTTTATTAAATAGTAATGGAAGAAGAAAAAAAAAAAAAAAAGAGAAGGAACTAAAGTGAACTTGTTTCCACTGATCGGAAAACATTTCCCAAACGTTGAACAAACTGTTAAGAAATGTAATAAATATATATATATATATATATATATATATATATATATATATATATATATATATATATATATATATATATATATATATATATGTATATATATATATATATGTTTTATATATATATATATATATATAACAGAAAAAAAGAAGTTTTAAATGATAAACAATAAGAAATTATAAATATCTAGGACCGATTCTAGGTTACAGCAGTTCTTTCAAAGATTAAAAAATTGGGGCTCTAAATACCAAAACACAATTTAGATACATATTTTTAAAATATCGATATGAATATTTTATATATATATATTTTTTTATGAATATTTTATATATATATATATATATTTTCGGTTGTCGCTACAGACCTTGCAGATCTTTGGTCGCGAGATGTGGTTAGAAAATCTAGACCACATCCTCACTTCTGATTTAAGTCCTACGCCCCGTTGGTGTGAATTACCTCCAGTAGGCTGACGGTCTCATAAACCCGGGGGGGAGGGGTCTCAGGCAGCGTGGCTTTTCATGGTGGACGGTCACCCATCCAAGTGCTAACCACGCTCGGCGTTGTTAAACTTGGTTACCTATTGCAAGCGCCTTAGCCCGCACGGCTATCCCAGCCCCTATATATATATTATTAATTATTCCTACCTATATTTCTATCTAAAACAATATGAGACATGGTTGCCTTAATGAAATCAAGATATAATTATTTTTTCTATAGATTATTTGGATGATAAAAAAAATTTAGGTGTAACTAAACATTTTAAAACAAGTAGCTACAAATACAATAGACCGGGACAACAGTCTCCTTTACAAGTGTTTTCTCGCCAGGCATGCGTCCAGCTCTTTATTTAGTAGATCTATTTGTGACTGTTATATAATGAACACTGTTCAAAACAGGACTGTTTTAGTTCCAAATCACGTTAAAATTAAAACTAAAGAGAAAAACTTACGAACATTATGTATGCTTAAGTATACCTTCCGAAAATAAACAAAAATAATTATTCAAAAATCGAGTTCAGACATTTTCAGAACTCGTCTAGACAAGTGATTCTCATTTTATATTCGCTATTCAAGCTAAAAGAAGTTAAAGTCATCTTTGATCATTTTTTTATTTCATGGATTCTTAATTTTTAATTTAATACACTATGTTGTTGTTTGTTGGACTTAAATTCTCTGCATAACCCAAGTAAGAAAAAAAAAAAAATTTGTTAATTAAAATTTATCACTGGTGTACCTTTCTTAAATTGATAAAGAGACCAATTAGCTTGAGCAGGTTAAATGTATATTAATCTATTAATAAATCTGTGGATATTGTTGAGCGTAGATCTAATTTTTTTTTTTGGTTGCCAATAAAAAAATATTGGAAAATTACAAAATGCGGGACATTTTAGGTTATTCTTCATCAGAGCACGGGAAAGAACACTGAGTAACTGTTTAAATAAAGAAGATGAGTTCTAAAATAGTAAACGGAAATGTTAGAGAAGAACCTAACGCACATAAAACTAATCAGGTAGAAAGTTTCTCTTTTATAAGGATTTCAAGTTACTAATTTATGTACAGGTTTGGTTCAACTTCCATTAAGGAGTTGGGTTAAGTTTTGCAGTTGTCCACTGCTACTCCACGACAAAGTTCTATACACCTATAAACCTTATTAGTAAACTAAGTTGAAGAAAGAAAAAAAATGCAGCCGATTATCCCAAATACAGACTTAGATGAATAGGAATCGACTGACGGCAAGAGCTAACTGGAGTGCCATACTGACACAGATAGTTTTTCCTCTTGGCCATATGCATCTCCACCACTGGCATTGAAAGCTTTCTATCAACCATTACCGGCAGAGCACTTCTTTTAACAGTGAAACCAGGAAACCCAGTTTCTAGGAGAGTAAACGAACATCATTGCCTTTTTTGTTATGGTATGAATAAAGAGTGGATAGAAATCAAATTGCAGAAAACCTTTACGTTTGAAATTACACTTTTTTTTTTTTTAATTTTATTGAAATTTACAACTGTATTACATTAAAAATACAACAGGTAAATGTGATATTGGCAACGTGACATGTAAAATATGAATAGAAACTACCCATTGGTAGAATTCAAATTAAAGTTCTATATTAGAAGATCCCGAGGCCATCTTCTTTTCAGACGTCTCGGAGGGTTGTCAGGGTTAGAGGAGGAAGCAATGTTTGAAACAAGAGGGTCCGGATGGTTCTGCAGTTTGTTATGGAAGGATAGGTATCTGGATTGGGCCAAATCGGAAACATATGGAACATTAAGGTCTTTATGGATGATTTTGTTTGTGACAAAGTAAGGAGCGTTGAGGATTTTACGAAGGATTTTGGATTGTAAGGGTTGGATACGAGAGGAATTCGATGGCTTAGTGGAGCCCCAGAGCTCAATTCCGTAAGTCCAAATAGGTCTTATTATTGTCATATAAATGAGTCGTTTGTAATTGAGTGAAACCTTAGAGCGTTTGTCTAGTAAGTGTTGGAGTAGTCGGAAACGTCGAGCAGTTTCTTGTTCGTTTCAGTCTTCTATGAGGATTCCATGTGAGTCGTTACACTTTTTTAAATTATATCTTTAACACATAAAAATAAACTATAGGGATGTATTCGGGGTCAATAGTATATTCAGCAAAAAAGTTCAATTTATTTTCCCCTTTACTCTTTATCTGACTGTTTCAGACGTACCAGGAGGGCGGAGGGAGTTTAAATAATATGTGTACTCAATCTTCACGGTTTAATGGAGTGGTATTATAACTGCCGCTGCTCGCCCCTCTGCCGTGCTTATTCCACTCCTTACTTGTAGGAAAGCATCAGAAGAAGCGAGTATATATCTTCTGCCGCATTGCATAGGCTACATAGTGGAGAGTCTGCCACTCCTATTTTATGAAGATGTTCCTTCAGATAGTCGTGTCCGGTGACCATACGAAATTCGCATCCTTCCTCGTCACGTCAACTGGTACCCTTTCCTCCTCAACTAGCACTTAGCTCCATTGCTTCCCAGTTGTAGTTATTTTTTAGAGATTCCTTCAATACAATCTGTTTTGCCTTTTTTATTTCTCTCCTAAACCTTTGGAATATCTGCCTGCTGCTCTAATAAATTATATATAATAATATCTGGGTGCATATTATGTAATAAATTATTCTGAGTAGGAATAATTATAATCCCAAACGGGAGCCTATGAAGAGGATGAAAGACCTTAGCCAAGAAGAAAGAAGACTGGTAGGTAATGACGGCCCCAAAGAACCGGTAGTAGAGGACGGGGTAATTTTCTGCGGGGGCCACTTTATACTGCGCCTCTGGTCGGCACAATTCTCGATCCAGCACGACTGCATTTAGCTTAAACCCTGCGGATAACGTAACAGAAACGGCTCGGAGTAAAACATGCAATACTTGTCTGAAAGTATTATTTACAGTATTAATGGTCTAACTTCAAAGAAAATCAGTCATTAAGTTTAAATAAAATACACAGATAAACAGTATAAGTATTTTAAGAAATAAGCCATCTAAATTTAGCTAAACTAACGGCGGAGATAGTTTCATATTCTCAATATTTCTCTCTTCTACTTCGGTGCATAATATTTTCCAATTTATTTATTTATTATAAGCCACTTTACACTAATTTTTAATTTGGTCAACTTAATGACTAGAACATATTAATTACGACGTTTTGGCTCGTCGAGCCATTTTCAAGTCTAAAAGAAGTTCCTCTACTCCTATAAGAATAACTAGTGACTGAATAGAAATGAGACCGACAACATGTGGGTGACACATGATAAGGTAATTTTAACATATATGAATCTTTTAATAAAGAAGGAATTGTGTAATAATGATGTGATAAAATAGTTAAAGGTGGACATAATTCATAATGAAATATTTCATTATGAGTAGACGCATGTAATTCGCATAAGTAAAATGGGTAGGTACATGATCGGTAATTATGTATACAAAATCTTTGTATTTTGATATCTTTATATATTTATATCTTTTTAGTAAATTCCAATCCACTTACCACTTACTTATCTACTGCCACAAATCCACATAATCCGCCCAGAAGACTGCTGATCCGCATTATCTTTTTCATTGTGTGTGTATGTAATTATGATATTATGTATGTGTTATTTTACTACTGTTTTTTTTTTTTTTCCTTTTTGTTTTGTTATTACTATCATTTTTTTTTATGCTATCATTTCTTCTCCTTGATATCATATTTACTGAATACCGAGGTAGATGGCAAATTTATTGTGAGCCAGGAATATGTTAACTAATAAATAAATAATTAAAAATATTTTGAAATACGTAAAATTTTTAGAAATGATAGTAAATTGAAACATTTTCTTTTAGACTTGAAGACGGCTCGACGAGCCGAAACGTAGTAATTAAGATGTTGTAGTCATTAAGTTGACCAAATTAAAAATTGGTGCGAAGTGGCTTATAATAAATAAATTGGAAAGTATTTATAATACAATAACATTACAAGCTGTGTCAATGAAAGACAATTGTAATATACAAAGTGGATCAAAGAAAAACTGAATTAGGTATCAACAAACGGCAAAAGAATTATGTTAATTAGAAAAAATACAATAATAAGTATTATTGTATTTTTTCTAATTAGTATTTTTAACGATATTAAAACAGTACATAGGAACCAGGAGGATTATACATTTTAAAAAACATTTTTGTAATAAAGTCCTACGTTTCTAACCTTTTTTTTATATATGTTCTTAAAAAATTATATTAAATGGGAAATAAACATCAATTGACCTTAGATATAATTTATCTTAAATGAATTTTACTAGATTCTAATGTGTTCGTTTGTTTGAGACTAAGAAAAAAAAACTAATGTTTTATACTGACTTCTAAGCGAAATCAACACAAGTTTCAAATAAAAGTTATTAAAAATTATAGTTCTGTAAAACCTCTACTTGAAAGTTTAATGGGGGATAAGTTCCAAAATAAAAATCACATTGAAACTGGTTAAAAATAAAAGTTAAAATTACATTTGTCTCTTATTTCTTATTTGTCTTGTATTTTAAGTCCGTTGATTTTTAATTTTTATCACGTCTAGCAGGGAATCTCGACCGTTATTTTAAATGCTTAATATGAGCTGGCTGCTGTGGTTGATATCCAAACACAAATCTTTATTTTTCCTAGCCTTTTCTATTAACTTATCAATTTAACAATAACATGTTATTGGTTGTCAAAAATACAGTCGCCTGGCCATAATAAAATCATACAATATAAGTATAATAAAATCGTATAATTAAAAAAAAAAAAATTAATTTCGAAATCATATTCAAAAATTAAAAACTATTGTACCTGATAAACAGTTAACTGTACCTGAGTGAAAGCCGGTGTAATACTTAATGACGAGCAAAAAAAAAAAAAAAATAATAAACTAGTTACAGCTAAGCAACTCCAATAGAGGAAAATAAAACACGTGCTCATGGTGACCTTTTTCTAGGTCCACGCCTCATTATAGGATGTGGATCGACGAGCGATGCTCATGAAGGCCAAGGTGTCCAACTAGCTAAGGTCACTGGAGATAGTAAGAACCCATTGCGGATCATCGGTTTAATCCTCCGAATCTCCAGGTACCGATCAACGGGGGTCTATTTTTAAGAGAATAAAGGAAAGCGGTAAATAATAGATATGTCATTGTTTGGTAGGTCAGGGAGGCAGGTGTCCATTCCTCTTAAGGTCGATAGCGAAAGAACTTAACCCCTCCCCCTCCATCCAAAATATTTTATTGCTCACCTTATTTTAAATAACAGAGCAAGCCAAGAAAGAATTAGAAACATCGTAGATCATATACAATTACTCTTTAATGCGGTACGTTTCATGTATTTCCCCATGTCCCCCAGTCAGAAAATTCATAATTCCGTAGAAATTTGCACCCTCAAAAATTCCAAAACCCGTCAAATTATGGCACCATAAAAAATTTGGATGGCGCAACTTGCTCCATGAAACCTCCTTCTGGGCACTCCTGAGGTGAGGATATAAAATACTATAAGTAGTAAAATATCATCACCTGTAGCTTTGTATTTCAGTTATTTTATCAACCCGTAACGCCAAAGATGATGTCGGCGGCATATTTTGCTAAATCACTTATAAAACTGAAGCAAATTGAACCAAATACAAAGCTCCTGAGCATAAAGGAGGGATGACGTTTTAAAAGAACCTGTCAAAAACAGACTTCCACATTTATGTCGTCCGAATTGTAGGAAACCCTACGCATTTTAATCTCGACCATTATTCCCAACCATTCCAAGAGCTAAATTGGAACAGCATGCAGGCGGAACATTATTTCCACATGCATTATAGAATGTTGAAGGTTGAACCTCCATACACAGAATGTAATGTCAATACACACACCTGCAACATTTCTTTGTTGGAAAGAACGGAATACACGGAAAGTATTGCCACACCCTTTTTACACATCGGATCTCGCACAAAACACATCCTGGTTCCTGAGTTATTTTCTGCGAATATAAGACTCATATGTTCACTCTTAATTGCCCGAAGTTTAATAAATTAATTATTTCTGATAGTAAAATTAATTCAATTTCTTAATAAAATGCAATTTATTTCCCGCAGAAAAAAAGGAAAGACTTATTTGCTCAGCTAACAAAGTGCTAGAAAAAGGTTACCGACCTTAATATGGGAAAAGAAACCTTTTATGCTTGCAAAAAGTTCAGACTATACCGGCACTCCAATAATAAATTACTGTGTACATTCTGACACGGAAAGGGGTATTTTTAACTGTTGTTTCTTTTACGTTTTCTTCATTTCCAATAATTAATATTTTTTTTAATCAATAACTTCAAATTCAATTTTCGTTTCCCTACATTCATTCAGCTTCTTATTCCGTTATAATTATTGTTTTAAATATATTTTTACTAACTAACTAGTCAACTATTGTTTTATGTATAATTATTTATAATTATACACAATATATTATAATAATATTATACATAATAATTTAAAATATGTATAATTATTTAACTATTGTTTAATGTATATATTGTTTTAAATATATTTTTACTAACTAACTAGTTAACAAAACATAAGCCGCACTACCAATACCATACCAAGTGCATCCGAAAAATAAAAAAAAGGTTTCGAGAACGTTGAGTCATATCAGAAAGTGCATGTCATAACTTTATTCTCTGAACCCAGCTAACAAAAAAATAAAATTCTGAGGATAAAATTCAACCCGGAAAAACCTTCTGATGTGGAATACGATGATACGGTATTGAGCTATTATAAATCACCAGAAATAACTTCATATATGTATAAATGTGCTGTTAGTCATGTGGTTGAATTATTCACTCTGATAAAAAAAAAAAAAAATAAATGAATCCGAAGAAAATTCAAAAGATAATTTCTAAAATTTTGTTTTATATAATATTACAGGCTCATTATATAAATAATTAATATTACCGATTATTTGTATGTGTGTGTACCTTTAATTTTGTCACAATTGGTAAGTGTAACTTCTATAATAAATTTATAAAGAGGTCGTCCTTAGGTTGGTCATTGTCTATTACAAGTGTTCATGATGCCAAATGTTATTTTTGAAGTAGGATAGAGACTGTTCCGTATAAACTATTTTTCCTTTATTTTACTGTTAAGTAAAATTCATGGTAATTATTTATTATTTAACTTCGTAACCAAAACTGTCTCTTTTGCATCAGTTATCCAACTATTTTTCAGACTTCATCCAATTGCTTTATGTCAAATGTTCTAGCATTAAAAAATAAAAGTATTGAGAACATGTAGACTGAAAAAAGAGTTTTGTTTAAAATTAGTGATCGAACAAAAATGGATTATGGTGGAAGTATACACAAAATTTTGATGAATATTATAAAACATGTTTTTGGTATTTTTCTACACAATATTTAAAAAAAAAAAAATGTAAATA